TACTCCATTTGCAAAAAAGCCTGGGTGGCACAGTGGTTAAATGCTTGGCTGCTAAAACAATGGTTGGTGGTTCAAACCCACCAGCCACTCCACAGTAGAAAGATGGGGCAGTCTGCTTCCATAATGATTACAGTCTTGGAAACCCTATGGGGCAGTTTTACTCTGTCCTGTAGGGTTGCTATGAGTCAGAATCAACTTGACGGCAACGGGGTTTTTGGGACTCCATTAGCATGGTTTTATATGTCTTAAAGTGAACCACATATTGCTGATATCCACCTGTTTTTGTTTTTTTTGTAATTGTGATTTGGGTGAATGTTTACAGAGCAAATTCATTTTCCATTGAATAGTTCATACACATTTTGTTTCATGACATTGATTGCAATTCCCATAATGCAACAGCTCTCTTTCCACTTCCTGTGGTTACCTTTTCCTTGAGTCCTTTCCTATGCACTCTTGCCCTCTGAGCTATCTTCCTGTGCAAATGCTTCCCTTCTGATCTCCCATGGTTGACTGTTTTAAGGAGTATACCTGGTGTAAATGTTCACCTTATAGTCCTGTCCATTGTCTGGCCAGAAGCCATGGGAATGAGTTCAGTTCTAGGCTCAAAGGGTGACTAGGGGCCATAGTCTCAGGGGTTTCACACCAGTAAGCCTGGTTTAGAGTTCCACATTTTTCCCCCATTCTATCCAGGATCTCCTATTTTTGATCCCTTTCCGAGTGGTGGCATAGTGCCTGAGGCATTTGACTGCTAACCTGAAGGCTGGTGGTTCAGACCCACCAGCCATTCCTCAGAAGAAAGATTGGGCAATCTACTTCGTAATGCTACTGCCTCAGAAACCCAAGGAGGGGTCACTATGAGTTGGTTCCGACAGTGAGTTTGGTGTGGTTTTTTTCCTAGTGTTTGACAGTGGTAGCTGGAGACTATCTAGTTCTGGTCTCAGAGTCATGTAGGCTAAGGTTCTTATGGTCCACCATTCCCTGGGACTAATTGTTGCCATGTGTCTTTGATTTTCTTCATTCTTCGCTCCAGATGAGGAGAGACCAATTGTTACAGCTTAGATGGCTGTTTTTGTGTTGTATGTCATTTGAGCTTGACATACATCCGCCTTTATCATGGTACCAAGCCCGCAGGCCCAGTGACTTATTCCCTCAATGTCTTTGGCTGTGGCTAAGAAGTTACCATAATTTTGCCCCATAGCTCTTAACATATATGGACATACTTAATAGAACATACAAATACATATGTAGAAATATCATCTGCCAAAAGTACATGGTCATGGGTATATCTACTTGTTTTTGACATATGATTTCACATAGTTCAATCTAAAATACATAATTTAGAAATTATACACACATTTTAGGGGTACATACCCAAACAAGGTTAGAGATGGCTGAGCTGGAATCCAAAGGGCAGGTTTTATGAAGGGAGCAGTATTTCTGACTGCCACTATGAGTCATCCACTTGGCCTTTGCTAGATGCTGGAGATCAGAGAAGACCACATGGTGGCAACCTTCGTACTTGCTAAGGCCGTGAGATGTAGGTCACCATTGGTAGAAAGGAGATGTTTCTTGCTGTCACCTGATCCAAGATTGATGATCAGTGCCTGACTGATGAAGTCAGTTAAACCTGGGCAGTGTCACCACTAGGAAACTCCTGGAATTGTCCCCCAGGCTAGAGTCACTGTTCTTTAAGACCGTTACTCCTGAGGGCTTGTATCCAACATCTGAGCACACAACACATCTGGAAAACACCCATGAAGCCTAGGTGGGGCTCTGGGTGCTTAGTGAACAAAGGGTAGGGGGAAGGAGTAAATGAACAAGTTAAATAGACAGTATGTCAGATGGTGCTAATTGGTATAGAAAAATCAGGGAAGAGGACAAGAAGTACAGTTTTAAATACGGAAGGTCTCATTGTGAGACCTGACTGAGGGAACAGACTAGGTAGATACCTGGGGGGAAGCTTCCCATACTGAGAGAACAACAGCAAGTGCCCAGGCCCTTTGACAGGAGTGCCTGGCATGTCTGAGGAGCAGTGAAAAAAGCCAGTGCTGCTGGAATGAGGTGAGGGAGCATGGGAGAGAGGCTGGTGACATGCTATTGCCTGCCTTCCACCTGAAGGTTTACCTGACTTACCCTTCCAGCCACGTGGAATCGCCTACATCATCTGAAGGGAGCCAGGAGGACCTGTTAATGGTTTGGGAAGAGCCATCATAAGAGCAAAGGCCCTGGAATTATGGTTAAACCTAAAAGAGAGGCCTTATGGAATAGTGGTGCAAGATGAGACTGGAAAGGCAGGTGGGGTGGCTGAAAGAGGGCTTTCTTTCAGTTTCACAGGAAACTGCCTGTGAGTTGAGGTTTGATTCTTCTAGATGTAAAACCAGTGTAGGTTCTTGAGCAGAGAAGTGCTGTGACACAAAGTAGAGGAGATCAGATTTTGGAAAACAGTCTTGCAGGTCTTGGACAGTTTAGAGCAGGGCATGAAGATGGAGGCAGGATGGCCTTGGAGAGGACTTCTCTACTGCTCTGTGAGCCAGTGATAGGTGAGGCCCAGCATAGGGCAGGCAAGGAAAGGGAGAAATGACAAGACTTGGAGGCTGTGCAGGGAAGATGAGGGAGGAAGTTTGGAGCAGACTTCAAGGATGAGGCACAGGACCCTTAGGGAAACAAATTAAAGGGGTAGGGATGTTTCTGACACCTGAGGGGCAGGTGAGTGCAGGTGGAATCATGCAGTGGAAGTTGAGTGAGAGGTGAGGGAAGGGTGGGATGTTGATTTGGTTACTTAGTGCCACTCACTGTAACAGAAATACCACAATGGGATGGCTTTAACAAACAGTTTATTCTCTTACAATTTTGGAGGTTAGACGTCTGAGTTCCAGGTGCCAGGCTCTAGGGACTGGGTGAAAGCCCCTTGACCTTGGGCTTCAGCTCTGCCTTTTGCTCCTGGGGCACTGAAGCTAGAGGCATCTCTTACTCAGGCAGCTGCTAGCTGCTGAGGCTGACAAACTCAAGGTCAACAAGTGAAAAGGTACAGTCCTGATAACTACCAAACCACATGGAGGCCATTAATTCAAGTCCATTAAAAGTCCCAAGATCAGCAGGGCAACATGGCAAGCTGCTGAACAACAGCTTGGCTACATGCAGGGTTCAAGTGTGCCATCAGCTAGAGACCTTCCTCAAAGTTGTTTCTTATATACTGGAAGCAGACCACATCCCTAAAGCAGCTACTCAGCTGCTCCAATAGATTCCACCATGGAATTAATTACCAGTCTCACCATGGGGAATAGCTACATCCAGCTCACTCAACCAGGCCCAACCAAGTTGACACACAAACTGAACTACCATAGATGTGAATGTATGTGAACCAGCAGAAGACATTTTGGGTCCTATGGAGATTGTAGAAACAGAAATCATCATTGGATTAGTATTTATTGATCAATCCATTGACTGTGGTGAAAATATACACACCAAAACATTCGCAAGCACAACCACTAACACATTTACAATTCAAAGATATTGATTACATTTCTCATGTAAAGCCACCATAAAACCCACACCAAAGCTACACCAAACCCACTGCCATCGAGTCAATTCTGACTGGGCAACTTCCATAGGGTTTCCAAGGCTGTAAATTTTTAGGGAAGCAGATTGCCTCATCTTTCTTCCTTGGAGCAGCTGGTTGGGTGTGGAGCAGCTGGTGGGTGTGGAGCAGCTAGTGGGTGTGAACTACTGACCTTTTGGTTAGCAGCTAAATGAATGTCTTGCCACAGTGCTACCAGAGCTCCTTAAAGCCACTAAAGGAACCAATTGCCATTGAGTTGATTCTGACTCATAGCAACCTCTGTTGGATTTCCAAGGCTGTCAGTCTTTACAGAAGTAGATTGCCTCATCTTCTTTCCACAGAACAGCTATTGGGTTTGAACTGCCAGCTTCCTGATTAGCAGCCAAATGCCTTACCCAGTGATGCCACCAAAGCTCCTTAAAGCTACCATAGGGGCTTTTTTTTTTTTTTTTAATTGTGATTTGGGTGAAGATTTACAGAGCAAATTCACTCTCCATACAGCAGTTCACATATACTTTGTCTCATGTCATTGACCACAGTTTACCACAATGCAACAGCTCCCCTCCAACTTCCTCCCCATAGTACCATTTCCCAGTGTCCATCCCTCCATACTCTCCTGCCCCCTGAGCTGTCTCCCTGTGCATAAGCAGCCCTTCCTTCTCCCATGATTGTTCTCTCAAGGGCGTGTGTCTACTTGAGGTAAATGTTCAACTCATGTGCCTGTACTTTGTTTGGCTGGAAACGACAGGTGTGGGTTCAATTCCAGACCTGAAGGGTAGCTAAGGGCCATAGTCTCAGTGGTTCCACCAGGCTCTATTGGACCAGCAAACCTGGTCCCAACCATCCCTTTTTTTTTTTCCCTCCAAATGATTTTGAGTTTTGTTCCACATTGTTCTCCCTCTCTATCCAGGATCTCCTACATCCCTTCCAAGTGGATGACAGTGGTAGCCGGGCACCATCTAGTTCTTCTGGTCTCGTAGTTGTATAGGTTGCAGATCGGATGGTGTACCAGTCGTGGGGACTGATTGTTTCCATTAATTTTGGTTTTCTTCTTTCTTCTTTGCTCTTGACGAGGAGAGACCCATCGTTACATCTAGATGGCAGCTTGCTAGCTTTTAAGATCCCAGTCGCTACTCACGAAAGTAGGAGGTGGAACAATGTTTTGTATAGTATGTTATGCCAGTTGAGCTTGATGTCCCCTGTGACCATGGTCCCAGGCCCTCAGGATCAACTACTCGGTCACTCTGGGTAGCTGGCTGTGACCAGGCAGTGACCATAACCTAGCCATAGGGTTTTTTTTCTTTTTCTTTTTTAATGCTTATTTTTTAAAATGCACCTTCACATAAAATGTATAGGAACTTTATTTCATCTCTCCTTAAGTCAGGGTAGAAAAAGATTACGCATATGAATAGCAAAAAGTTCCCAAACTGGCTGAGTTAAAAAAAAAAAAAACCTTGTTCATTCTGGATGGACACCAAAAATAATCTCTTATACTTTTTTTTTTTTAATATTTATTTTTATTGTGATTTTGGTGAAAATTTACAGAGCAAATACACTTTCCATACAGCAGATCACATACACTCTGTCTCATGACATTGACCACAATTTAGCACAATGCAACATCTCCTCTCCCACTTCCTCCCGATAGGTACCGCTTCCCTGTGACCATCCCTCCATGCACTCCTACCCCCTGAGCTGTCTCCCTGTGCCTGAGCAGCCCTTCTTTCTCTCTTACTTGTTCTCTCCAAGGAGTGTATCTACCTCAGATAAATGCTCAACTAGTATGCCTGTCTACTGCCTGGCTGGAAGCTACAGGTGTGTGTTCAATTCCAGACCTGAAGAACAGCTGGGGGCCATAGTCTCAGTGGTTCCACCAGGCCCCATGGGGCCAGTAAACCTGTTCCCTTTTTTTTTTTTTTTTTTTTTTCAATCTCTTATACTTTGAACTTAAACCAATTGAACAACAGGAACAATGCCTTTTCATTTAGTCATATTTCAGGATTTGGCTTTGCCTTTGAGATTTGCTGAAGTCATATGCTCCACTTGTTGAATGTACCATGTTCCTTTCCAAGCCACCAATCTGTCTGACAGCTGAGGCCAATTACTGCTGGTTCCATGTGGATCTGAGAGGAGGAGGCAGGGATGGGGGCTCTTAACTTACTGTCATTGAAAGCTCACCACGTTATATATTCGGAATTGGTAAAGCTCAACACTCCTTCACTCAGACTTACAAGTCCCAGTGCTCCATCAGTACTTCTGGTTTGGCAGTGAGTGGTACTAGTCTGTACTGATGGCAGTGGGCAGGGAGTATCTAGACCAGCAGGCCTAGAGGGTCAGAGTCTGCCCAGACCCTGGCAGGGGTCTGAAGCACCATTTCCAGATATGAGTGAAGCATAACACTGGAAGAATCTGCTCTGGGCAACATTGATTCAGTCTGGCTGTATTGATAGGCATTTTCCTCATTGGAAGCTGATCCTATTTTTGCCCCAGTTTGTAACTCACTCAGGTATGCCATAAATATCAAGTGCTTGCTATGTGGCAGGTACTGTTTTAAGAGCTCAAAGTTCTAGAGTGGGAGAGTGTGGACCCTAGAGGACACAGTCAGCTTGGTGGCAGCTTCCTGAAACGATGTCAGCACAGCTGGAGGGAGAGCCCTTTGAGGATAGTCTGCTCATTTCTGAGATACTCCTGTACCGATGGAGGCCTTAAAGGTTCCTGAAATGTCACCCCTGGGCCCAAGCTGCTGCTAGCTTCCCCCTTCTGCCCTTTCCTGTTAGTAGCTTCAGTGTCCCAAGAGTCTGCTCTCCCTGCCCCCATAAAAGACACCACAGAGTGTCAGACTGGTAACTGTCCCGGAAGTTGTGGGAAATTCTTGGGCTCCAATCCTGGGGATGTTTATTCTATGGGTGGAGGGTGAGAAAAGAGAGAAAGATGTTGCAATCCACTCAATCCATGTCAGATACGTCAGTAAGGGGAAGAGAGGAGAGAGCTCTGAGTGATTTGGTAGAGGCAAGGGCAAAAGAGGAATATCCCAACACAGAGCCTGCCAGCATTGTCACCTCTGACTCAGGGCACCTACTACCCAAGGTGCCTGGCCTCCCACCCCAGAATTGACTTAATAACAAATCAGAAACTGAAACTTAGTCTCAGGATTCAAAGTTTAGAATTAGAGATGAGTCATTGTTGAGAGCAACTGCAGTAGCTGAGAAGTGGCACAAGAGAGGCAGGCGTGAGCTGAGGGCACAGGAAGCAAGCAGGTGAGACTGGATGACCGAGACAGCTGGTCCGGAGTGTTTCTCTGAGGTAGCTGCCAGGGGAGGTGAAGGGAGGACATCTCCCTGGTCCTGAGGCTGCTAGGCAGGGCCTGGAGGCTGAGGAAGCTGGGTGGGGTGGGGAGAGGCCGACTTCCCCTGTTGCCAGGTGGTGTTTGTGACAAAGAGCAGGACAGAGGGTGAAGGTGGGCTGGGTCATGGCTGAGGACACCTGGCAGCTGGCTCAGCCACACGAGGCCCTCCTGCACCCCTCTCTGAAGCACACCTGAGGGTCCGGTGGAGCATGGCACGTGGTTTCGAGGTGGTGGCCATGGACTGCGAGATGGTGGGGCTGGGGCCCAGCCGAGAGAGTGGCCTGGCTCGCTGCAGCCTCGTGGATGCCTATGGTGGTGTGGTCTATGACAAGTTTATCCGGCCTGAGGGTGAGATCACCGACTACAGAACCCTGGTCAGTGGGATCACGCCTCAGCACATGGAGAGGGCCACACCATTCACTGTGGCCAGGCTGGAGGTAAGTGAAGGGCCAACAGGGGGCTGTGGACACCTCCCACCTCCCCAGCTGCTGGGTGCCAGATCTGTGACTTGGGATCTCAGCCATGGAAATTCTCACTACCCTGTGTGGGGAACCACCACGATGTGGAGAAATCAGGATCCCTCTGCCATCAGGGAACCTCAGACTCAAAACTGGGACCAGCTTTTCAGTTATCTGATCTACCTTCCTGTTATAATGGAGGACCTGAGCCCCACCTGACATCACCCTGCACTGAGGGCTAGATTGCCATTCCTTCCCAGACACATGGCTGCCACTGGTAAGCTCTGTGGGCAAGTAAGTGGTGAGTCCTGGTTGAGGCCCCCTGGCATAGCTCCCTGGTGGTGGTGTCCCTGCCTTCAGGGTGGTCTCCTCACCAAGAGCCTCTAGCCCTCTTGGTTCCGGAGGATGACAAGTTAGAGCCCACTGGACCAAGGGAGTTCTTGCCCTCCAACCAGTGTTATGGCCCCTGGCAGGCCACCCACTTGGTTCAAGGCCAGTATGTGATCCCAAGATTTCCTACCCACTTGGCTTTTAGGAGCTCTAGTGGTGCTGTGGTTAAAGCATTGAGCTGCTAACCAAAAAGTCAGTGGTTTGAACCCACGAGCCACTCTGGGAGAAAGATGAAAAGATGAGGCAGTCTGCTTCCGTAAAGATTTACAGCTTTGGAAACCCTAACGGGGCAGTTTGACTCTGTCCTCTAGGAGTGCTGTGAGTCAGAATTGATTCTATGAAAGTGGGTTTGGTTTTCGTGTTTTTTGCCCTTGAACTTGTTGTGATACCTTCTTCAGGACGAGCTTTCTGTTTCTCTGAATAACTAAATGGAAATCAAAACTCAGCCACACTACAGATGTCATCAGGGTTAGTCTTAGTCATCTCTGGAAAGACTCCGAAGGGCAAGCTAGCACACGGGTTTCTAGGCTGCAAGACATCCAAGAACTCGGAATTGAGGTCTGCATGTTCATTCAACAGTGCCCCTTACTCAAGTGCCCCCCCACATGGCTTTAAGATTGCCCTTATAGAGCAGAGTGCCTATAATAATATTCAGTAGTTACTGTTTTCCTTATTACTATATAGATGAGGAAAGAGGCTTGCTTGACTGAATAACTTAAACAAGTTCAGATAGCTGGAATGTGAACAAGTTGGTCAAGATTCAAAGCTCTGACTTAAATCCTTAGGGCTGTGCTGTCCAATACAGTGGCTACTAGCCATGCGTGGCTAGTAAGCACTAGAAATGTGGCCCTTCTGAACTGAGATATGCCTGAAGTGTGAAATACCTACTGGATTTCAAAGACTTGGTATCAAAACCAAAACCAAACCAAACCCATTGCCACCGAGTCAATTCCAACTCATAGCAACCCTTTTATGGACAGAATAGAACTGCCACCTAGGGTTTCCAAGGCTGTAAATCTTTACAGAAGCAAACTGCTTGATCTTTCTCCAACAGAGCAGCTGGTGGGTTTGAACCGCGAACCTTTTGGTTTGCAGCTGAATGTTCTAACCACTATGTCATGAGAACTCCTTTTTGGTATAAAAAGGACCTATAAAATACCTCAATAATTATTTACATCTTGATTACACATTAAAATTATAATATTATATATATATTGGGTTAAAGAAAATGTATTATTAAAATTAATATTACCTATTTTACTTTTCAAAATATGGCTACTAGGCAATTTGGAGAGCTCTGGTGGCAATTTTTTGGAAGTAGATCACCAGGCCTTTCTTCTGCAGTGCCTCTGGGCAGGCTAGAACCATCAGCCTTTCAGTTAGTAGTCAAGCGCTTAACTGTTTGCACCACCAAGGGACTCTTTTCCTCATCTGTAGAAGGGAAGGAATAATGTTTGCTCCCTGGGTTGCAGGGTAGATTTGGTGTTAAGGGATATGGCCTTGAGCACAGTGCCTGGCTTGCAGCTGATAAGTACTAAATGGGCCTATGGAGAGAAAAGGGCCATAATTTAGATTCTATGTTCTGTGCACCCTCTGACTTCTCTTGAGAACTATGGTCATAGACTCTGACCTGTATTTTCTGCCTGCTGTACCAGATGCTTGCTGCCAGTCTCTCCTGCTCTGCCATCAGAGAAACTTCCCCAAGGCTGGCTCGAGTCACAGTGCCCCTTACTCAAGTGCCCCCCTATGGCTCCTATTGCTAAGATCATCTTAGCCCAGCATTCATGGCCTTCCAGACCCTGAGCTGTCTACTCTTCCTGCCTTCTCTCCCAGCTCAGCTTTTCCCCACCCTTGTGCTTCAGCCACATCCACACCATCTCCAGTGCCCCAATCTGCCCCTGGTGATGCTACCATTCTGGCAGGATCAGGCCAGAGGTGTCTTTTATGAGGCTCTTCCCCATACCCACAACCATCCTTGCCTCTCCCCCATTGGACCCCCCAGTGGGATTTCTCTCCCACCTTGGTGTATCGCCTGTGTACTTCATTGCTTGCTTATTCGCCACCACCATCTGCCTGGTTCCACAGCTCCTGGCACTTACCTTTTCTCCCCCAGATGGTATCTAAAACCCATGACAGTCAAATCAATTCCAACTCCTAGTGACACTATAGGACATAATAGAACTGCACAGAGGGTTAACAAGGCTCTCATCTTTATGGAAGCAGACTGCCACATCTTTCTCCCACAGAGCAGCTGGTGGGTTCAAACCACTGAGGGCCCCTTTAGATGGTATCTAGTGCTTGCATTCAGAAAGTGTCCTCAAATGTTTCTGGGATTGGAGCTGAACTGATTTTCATGAAATAGAAGAGAGTTCTGGCAGCTGTAGAACAAAATCTCCTCTGCCCTCCTGAAAACTGTCCTGGCCTTTGCTGTCAATCCATTCCTGGTCTACATGTTGCAATGTACTTGCAGTCCTGAAGGGTGGATGTCAGGGGGAAAGCTCACTGTCCTTACACTTGGCTAGACATGAGTCCAACTCCAGCTCTGACACCAGATTGCTCTGTGTCCTTAGGCCTATTGCTAAACCTCTCTGTGCTCCCCTCAGTAAGTGTCTTTGTGAAACAGGGGTGATAAAATAGTGCAGGTGTATCCAGCACTGTGGAGTCCCTGAGTGGTGCAAATAGTTAATGTGCTTTGCTGCTAACTGAAAGGTTGAGGGTCAAGTCTACCCAGAGGTCCCTTGGAAGAAAGGATGATCAACTTCCAAAAAATCAGCCGTTGAAAACTCTATGTAGCACAGTTCTTTTCTGACAAACACGGGGTTGCCGTAACTTGGAGTCAACTCAACAGTAACTGGTTTCTTTTATCATGAGCCCCAGGCTCTATTCGAAATACTTTCTATCCACTACCCCCTTTTCTCCTCACCACAAGCCTGAGAGGTAGCTAACTGGCTTCAGCTGTGGCATTCAGATCCAGTGCTAAATGTCTGGTACATGGCAGGAACAGAATCCAGCACCTCATCTGAGTGAAAATGTGGTACCAGTTTCAGAAATGAGGACACTGAGTGCCGAGTTATCCCAGAACCTCCCCACCCCCAAGCCAAGGTAGCTTGATGCCTACTCATCATCCACAGTGTTTTAATCTCAAAGACAGATCTAAGGCTCATGGCTGCAAGATGTGCTGGGGCTTCCAGTGGGCAGAAGCCTAACAGCCCTTTACCAACCCCCACAAGGCAGTGTGAACCCATCTCAGTGAGTCTAAGGCTCATCAGGCCTTGGTCTCTGGCAGGCATGTTACAAAGGCCCCTCACCTTCCAGGGCCACAGTGACTTTAGTGAGTGGACAGTTTCTCTTCCTCCTGGTGGGTGCAGTGAGTGGGCCCAACTAGTATCAGCAACAGGTCAGCCAATGGCAGCCAGGCAGTCCTGGAGTGGGGGTAGGGGGAGGTCATAGAGCCCCACTGAAGCCCACCCAGGAACACTGGTGTTGTGGGACCCTGAGGCTGTGAATGACTTCCCCCAAACCACCTCCTTTATTTTCAATTTTTTGAAATGTTACTACATTCATTTTATAATGTAAAGTAATAGTCTAGTTATCTTCTGACATTCTAGAGTCTGCTTATCATCTAGAACAGTGGTTCCCAATGGGGTTTGCTTTTACTCTCTTGCTAAGGGATAATTGACAATGTCTGGAGACACTCTTTGTCATAAGGGAGGGGTAGTATGTGCTACTCACTGTGGACAGAGGCCAGGGATGCTGCTAAACATCCTACAATGCACAGGCCACTACCCACAACAAAGAGTTATCCAGCCCCAAATGTTAATAGTGCAACTCTGGTCTATAAAGCTCCACAATCAAATACTGTCAGCACAGGAGGGACCAACCAGTGAGAAAGCTGAGGTCCAGAGAGGGACAGTAACTTGCCTAAGGACACACAGCAAACTGAGGTACAATCAGTGCTCCTACTTGGCAAATTAATGTGCTTTTGATGTCATCTCAGCATGGTGGTTGGTCATATACCCTGTAATTGGGACTAGGAAGGATAATTTCATTTTCAGTTTGCAAATAAACTGAACCCTATGTAGTATGGTGGTTTAGGAATGAGACATAGAAGGCGACAGGGATAGCTTATGAACAGAGTGATCTCAACCATAACCAGCAATGCAGCCCTGGCATGGGCCAGAGTGCTCTGTTGGGGCCCCACTGCCTGGCAGGTCTCTCTGTGGCTTAGCCAGATGGAGGTAGACAACTTCATCCTCTGTGTTTCCTCCAGGGTGGGCAGCAGGGTAAGATGGATCTTGGCTGAAAGCAAAGAACACCAGAAAGATGTTTACCTGTATTTTACTGACTATGCAAAGGCATTCAGCTGTATGGATCATAACAAATTATGGATAACATTGAGAAGAATAGAAATTCCAGAACACTTAATTATACTTATGAGGAACCTGTACATAGACAAAGAGGCAGACTTTTTGAACAGAACATACTATTTGGTTTTATTTCAGGAAAGGTGTGCATCAGGGTTGTATACTTTCACCATACGTACTCAATCTGTTTCCTGAGCAAATAATCAGAGAAGCTGGACTCTATGA